GTGATGACAGCGGCTATATGTGCGGGCGGGGCCGTGCGCGTGTCATCACACGTCATCTGCCGTAAAGGCGTGAATAAAGGTTTCTTCAGCCAGGACACGCGAGGGCGTGATATCCCATACTTATGTGTTGTACCTCGTTCCTCTCCTTCAGGGAACAGAAGTTATAGACATAACTAATCGATTTCCAGATTATGAACACTAGCAGTAAGCGGAGAGCACTTATTCAAGAAGGCAGGACAGATTAGATCATATGTGTGGGTGATGAAGGGTTAAGCTAATGGCAATAAAAAGAGATTGCTGTGCCTTTCACAGGCCAGAATAGTGAGCGGCAGACAAACCAAGGCACAGATTTATAAATTTTGAGATTACACTACTATCACTATTTTACAAGCCAAATAATTCATTAACTCATCAAGAGAACAATTGGAAGAGGAAAAGATAATGAAAGTTTTTGTAAGATGCAGCTCTACAGAGAGTGAAAAAATGTGCTTAAGTCTGCAATGGCTGATCCCCAACCTTCTTGTACGTCGTCTCCCCAGTGGGATCGATCCCACGATGCCCGATTTTTTTCAAAGCCTGAGATGTGCTAGCACTTGGACCCTGTCAGTATAAACATGGCACAAAACAGAATTACAAGAGGAAAAGAACTCATTGTAAGTGCAGGAACATGTAATATTCTCACGATTCAAACAGGAAGGCACAAATGACCTGTCAGCAGAATACGGGCTAATCCCAAACTGCTTATGGGGAAAGAAATGTGCAATTTCTAACTGACCGAGACAGATTTTCAGTTTCTTCCCCACAAATTCCCTCATTTCTCACCTCAGCTGAAGCATTTTTTCGAGACCCATTCAAGTCTGGAATCAGAAAGAAAGACATAATGTTACACAGGAAATTACACACACACACAGACACACACACAGGACAGGAAATGAGCAGATAAGGCAAACAGTTATTACAGTGGATGCAGTAATGTCAAACACAGACGGAAACAGCTTCTACCATTCCCTAACGCTGAAAATAGAGAGTGCAGCTGAACATGCAGACACACCTCAAACATTACCTCTGAAAGAAGACAGTTTCCTCCAGAACTGACTCTGCAGGTCTTTGTGTGCAATGGAAGGAATTAGATAAGGATGCTATTAAAGTGAGTTCATACAAAGCCGGTGAATTTCCTGATGTGTATTACACTGTAATATTACTGGTGTTTGAACTTAATGACACTTAGCTTCCGTTCATCTTTAAGGAAACACACTTGTGAAAGTGACACAACATCATGATGTCTGCAATTCACTTTCCTTTAAACATTTATTATGTATATTAGAGCACCATTTCCAAAACAGCTGGGACACTGTGTTGACACAAAATCTTTTTGCTTTTTTTTAACAAATATGTTTATTCTGAATTTGATTAATGCCACAAATATCAACAAGGTTCAGACAACATCACCAGACGACTGTAATAAGGAAGATGACTGGCCATTAATTTGCAGAACTAAAGCTGGGGAGGGGTTTGCCAATATTTCTAATCTACACAAGAAGCAATATTAAATGCCTGTCATCTTCAATGCTCAGACAGCAATGCAATAAAGGCAAGCACAATCCTGTTGTGAACAACCCTCATAAAAATCATTATCAGTGTACACAACTGCTGTATCCACAAATAAAACTAAGACAACAAACACATTTATTTTAAATCCAGAAAGGTTTTTGCTTGCTCTAGGCCTGAGCTCAAAACTGACTATTGAGAGTTTCTCCAGCATGTCAAACATTTTGGAGCTTTTTGGCTTTCAGTTAAAGGAAATTTGCCAGGACTGTGATAGTAGAACCAATAAAAATAATAATAATGATGATGATTATGTCAAAGGTATGAAATCTATAATAAAACACACAAGACTGGAGACTTAAGCACCAACAAAACCAGACGGAGTTCCTCATGCAAGTCACTCCACCATCAAGAACCCCGAACAGCAAACACTCGATCACCTTTCATGTTTAAGCATGAGGTGGGGCCAGTTAACAGGCTTCTATACAGGGACAGCAGTTGCAGTATGTTTAAATGTAATGCACGTGACCTTGGTTATTAAAACGCATTTAAATACACTAACTTCGCTTGGGTTTATAAGTCTGGCTGCTGCATTTTGAACAATCAAAAGACTGTACAATGATTTGTGATTGATACCTGCTAAAATAATTACAATAATCCAAATGAGAGGAAATAAAAGCAAGAATGATAGTCTTAGTGCCACTAAAACTGAGTATCGATCTTGTGATATTTCAAAAATGGTAGAAGCACTGGGAGACACTTCTCAAAACTGAGGCTAGAATCAACTAAGAAAAGAGCTGATGCTTGGATCCACCTTATTTGACCAATAATAAACAACTTCTCTAAGCTTCTTTTTTTTTTAATAGCACATATCTATTTTTGATTTCAGTTAAACAATTTGTAAGAATGGCAAAGTTTGTGGGTACTTTTTATAAGATTTCATTTACTCTAACTTTGTTTGTGAAATGGCCAAAACCAACAGGAAAATACTCAGACCTCTGTTGACAGAGATAACAAAGACTTTTTGCCTTCACTATATATGGACCGGTTATGTTTAGGTTCATAGCCCCATCCCCAAAGCCCATTGTAAGCCTCCTGCTGCCTGTGGTCTGGCAAATCAAAATGCGAAATCCTTTTTGGATAGCATGAATGCCTCATCCTCTGAGTTCAGGGAGGGAAAGACCATTCAGACTGCTATCAGTTTAAAAAGCCAAAATCTGTACTGGTATGGGAGGGCATTAGCTCACAAGGCAGGGTTAACTCACACATGTGTGAAAGCATCATTAATATACCAATTTTTCTCGCTACATACGCAGCTAGAAAGACAGCTAGTTTTGAAAGAGGTCCTTGTTTAATCCAGTAAGGACTTATTATTATTATTACTGCAGTTCCAACACCCACTAACAAAAATGTGGCATTAGAAAATGTAAAACTATCTCTTGTTTCAACACTTTATTATTCACACTTCCCTAATTTCAGTTCCGGTTACTCATCGCTCCTTTCTTCTTACAGTCAACAACTGGTTTCCTTTCTTCAGAGTCTATGCTGTTGTACATTTCCATAGAACGGATGCTGAGTAACAACATTTTTCTGGAGTAGTGACAGCAGTGACAGGGTGTATATAAAAGTGTTCAGAGGGATAGAAATAGTGTGAAACTGTTGTGCAGCTGAATTCCTGTGTTAAGCAATAAGGAGAAAACAGTACGTTTTCATAACTAGAGCAGTCAGTGTTAAACATCCTCCTGTCCCAAATGAGTTGATGGCATCAAATTCAAAATGATTATATATTTCTACGTTTACATTTAACACAATGGCACAAAACTTCTGGAAAAGCGCTCGTTTTAATCTTTAATAAAGTGAGGCAAGTACGTAAACTTTCTGTGAAGCATGAGATCCATGTACTTTGTCCTGCAAACCACTTTTTTTTTAAAGATCAAATCAAGGACAGCCAGAAACATCTGATTTAAGATGTAATTATGTACTCGGGCCAAGAAAAGTGGCCTTTGTACTCAATTAAAGTTTTGTTTTTTGTTTTTTACCTCAGATGCTCTGATGAAAACTTTGTGTCATAAATCTACTGTGATGTGAGGTAAATAAACATATTTTTTCCATTTTCTTTCCTTTTTAGTACACATTAAAGGAATAGTTAAGACATTCTGCGAAGTACTTTTATTTGCTTTCTTCTTCTTTTATTTGAGATGCCCCAAATTTACTGAAGACAAAAAAAGGTTGTCTTTTAACCTATTAAGGACTCTGTTAAATGGCTTCAATTATACATCTATATTGATTGTAATGATTGAAGTGTTTAAAATATGCCTGTGTACAACATGCGTAAGTCAACATAATTAAGCATAGTTTACATACGTGATGTCAGGTAAGCATTTTTGGCTACTCCTCTATTATCCCCAGGTGGTCCCATATGAATGGACCCCCACCTCTTTATCTTGAGTACACTACCATGTGAGACCTAACCGTGGGTCATGTCTCAGAAATAAGTCATCGCTTATTTCTGAGACATGCCTTGAGAAGTGAATCTGTATGAAGCAATTAAAGTTATTTCAGGCTATATGTTGTATGCACTGGCACGAAAGGTGGTGTATTACAACACAGTACTTACTGCCAGTCTGGCCCTGTAGCCCTGGAGGCTCTTCTGCAGCTGTGGCCATTCAGACAAGAAACTACACTCTGGACTTGCTTTGGAGGAAACTGGGGGTCTTTATTCACCCCTTAGCTTCAAATGTATCGGTGACGTCAGTTCAGCAAGGCGTGGACCTGTGTGGAAAAAATGCCCAGCTCAAGAACAGTAAACACTCTACATGATTTCATGCTAGAAATACCAACAACAGCCACGTTGAACAGCTCTGCTGATGGAGACAAAGGTGACATAAACAGGCGGCAGCTTCCTACCAAAAGCGACTAAGCATCGAGTAGGCTATTAAGTAAATTAACTTTTTAAAAATACACACACACAACAACACAGAGAGGCTAATGCGTGTTGTGACATGTTAATGTGGGAGATACCGAAACGTCTGAGCAGCGCTCAACTGAACATAGGCGACAACGCTAGCTGCCGCTGCTTTAACTTTTCTAACTTTAGCCACACAGATAAGTCTCGACAATACACACAAAACATTAAACTTACCAGAAAATCGTGTTTAGACGTTCTTATAGCTTCTAATTCAATTAAAAAAATACTTTTTATTCTTTTATAAAGGCGGTGTTTTCCTCAAAACAAATAAACAAGGAAGCAGTGCGGAAGCGGCAGTTTTGTTTGGGCTGCTAGTCTGGGCAAGAACAGCATTTCCGGTGGGGAAATATTTCAGAATAACATAGGCACTTTCAAAATAACACAACACCACCCCATGATTTAGGAACCTTCTAAAATTAATGTTAAAAAGGTGGGGAAAACAAGAAAAATAACTTAATCTAAAGAATTAGTTAAGAAACTTTGTAGTGGGAATAATAAGAAATGCAAAAGTAGCTATTTTTAAAAACGTAGAAGAGAGAAATAACTTATTTGTACTGCTAAACAGCATTTTAAAAAGGTAGAAGTAGCAATATTATCATGTAGTAAAATTGTTTTGTTCAAAATGTTATACATTGGGAATAAAATGTAGTTGAAGTATCAAAATTCAAGTTGAATGACGTATTAATGAAGGCTAATGACTTGATTTAGTGTTTCATGATCACACATACAGTGACATTTACTTTTGTGGTTAGTCATGCAGAAACCTTTGTCTCTGTTCTTTTGTTGTGAAAAAGTTCAATTTCATTGGTAGTTGAATTAAGATCTTAAAAAGGAACACAGCATGTCACAATCTATAGAAACAGCTATGAGACAAAGTCATTGACGTCTATGAGTCTGGAAAAGGTTACAAAGTAATTTCTATTTTCTTGGGACTCCAGCAAAATGCAGTGAGAGCCATTATCCACAAATCAGGAAATGGCCGTTCCAGAGCATCGTACTTGTTCCTCTGCATGAATGCCTTAGTAGATTTTGAGCAGTGTTTAGGGTCATTGTCTTGTTGAAATATCCAGCCCTGGCGCAACTTCAACTTTGTCACCGATTCTTGAACATTGTTCTCAAGAATCTGCTGATATTGACTGGAATCCATGTGACCCTCAACATTAACAAGATTCCCAGTACGTGCACTGGCCACACAGCATGATGGAACCGCCACCACATTTGACTGTGGCTAGCAAGCGTTTCTCTTGGAATACTGTGTACTGTTTCCACCATGCATACCTCCTCTTGTTATGCCCAAATAACTCAATTTTAGTTTCATCAGTCCACAGCACCTTATTCCAAAATGAAGCTGGCTTGTCCAAATGTGCTTTAGAATACCTCAAGTGACTGTTTGTGGCATGTACGCAGAAAAGGCTTCTTCTGCATTACTCTCCCATACAGCATCTCCTTGTGCAAAGTGTGCTGAATAGTTGAATGATGCACAGTGACACCATCTGCAGCAAGATGTTGCAGCAGGTCTTTGGAGCTGGTGTGTGGGTTGACTGACTGTTCTCACCATCATTTGCCTCTGCTTATCTAAGATTTTCCTTGACCTGTCACTTCCGGCCTTAATTAAAACTGTCCCTGTGGTCTTCCATTCTTTGGGATTTCTTTAAGTAAAATCAGTTTGGCTCCTTTTTAAAAGTTAATAACAGATGAAAAAAAAAAATCAGATTTGTGATTGTTTTGATCTTGCAAATTACTAAAAAAAAAAAAAACTGTTCCGAGTGATCACCTTGATCTGTGTCTTTTCAAGGATGACAACACCCCCATCCATATGAAACGGGGGTCACTGAATGGTTTGCTGAATCTCAAAATGTCAGTCAAATCATATGGGAGCTGGAGTCACCAGATTTTAACTCCTGTAACGCTTTCACCTTTTACTTTGAAGGAGTCACACAGATGACCATTCCAGTGATTGTGGTCTGGATTATATTAGTGAAGATAACTCAATCAATGGTGGTTGTAAAGTTTTGATTTGAGATTTTTTTTTTTTTTTTTTTTTTACTGCACAAAGATGCTACACCACACTGAAACCTTTATTACCCATCAACAACATGTTACAGCCACACACGCTGATAATCCAGCCAACTGTGACCCCTGGTGGAGACCTTTACGTCATATGTATTTTTTCCAAAAATAATTCTACAGATTTGTGACTGGATGTTAAAAAGATAGATTTTTGAAGGCGATATATCAACCTTATAACAGACCTTCATGGTAACAAAAACCACATCAGTCTCTTTGCGGAGTGAGTTTATTTTTCTCTCTAAAAACACTACATGTCAGAAATTACAACATTTAAGCCAGACACATTCTGTGAGCCTTATAAAATTAAGCACCGAGTTGCATTTTAAAAATGTGTTTCCTATTAATATGGCAAAGATTAGTTAAAATGCTGAGCTGATAACAAGGCTAGATGGGACTCTAATCGTCCTTAGATAGTGTAATCCAAACCAGTATGTCCTGTCCGCATCAAGAAGCAGCTGTACGTGACAAAGACAAGATTTAGATAGCATTGTCTGATAGAGGTTTGCAAGTGTTTCTTCAATACCATCTCCCTATAGGAATGTGAAAGAGTGGAAAGTTATTATTTTCGATCTCTAGCAGGTATTTGGATCAAACGTGAATCCAGGCTCCTCTGGGATTTCAGGGGCATTGTAGCCTGGTTTTGAGGTGTAGTTTGGGTTTGGCAGCTCACTGTCGAAGCATGACCAGCGGGCTTCTCCAGTGTTCTCACAGCACTCGTACGGGAGGGTCATGGTGGAGTACTCTTCCACACAGAACAGAGACAGGGCGTTTTTCCACTGTAAGAAAGAAGAGTCATGTTACACAGTATCGTCACATTAGCCGGGGGGGGGAGATCAGATTTGTAAGCAGGTGCGGTGCAGCTCACGGCGATTCACTCAGCATAAAATTATACTAATTTGTATGAATTTATAGTTTTGAAAACCAAAGCCTCTTGGACAGTCCATAAATTTTAAGACAATGAAGCTTAAAAAAAAAAAAAGTGTATTATTAATTCCCTACCAACTGTATAAATAGTAAATAATAGCAGAACTCTCCCTGATGATATGCTAAGTGTTTTCAAGTTTACTTCGGTCCCAAACACTCAGACTCACCGCTTGTTGGGCGCAGCAGAGGATCTGGCTGCTCTGCTCTAGGTGTCCACTGCAGCACACTCTGAACCACGACTCTAGGCGGTTCATGGCATGTCCACGGCGTCGGAAGTGGCTGGACCCGGATTTGGGGAAGAAACTGGGAGGGTACCTGGGGCGACCTCTACCCTGATGACAAATGGCAGCCAGATTGTGAGTGGTGGGACGGGCAGGGGGGAACGGGACGTTGGGCTCTTTGCGAGAGTTCTTCTTGGTCTCTGAGGAAATCCAACAAGAAGAAATGGAAAGGTTCAAAGCACTACAGTTTGAAGAATGCATAATGTATATATTCTTTAAAAAAATAAAATAAAATCTATAAATCTATTTACCTCCCAGATGTGCACCATAAAACAGCACCAGAGCAATTATGCAAAGTCCTGCAAGGCGCCCAGGTGAAGTCATGGCTGGATGGCGGTGTGATGGAAATCGAATACTGAAGAGGCTTCTGTGAATGTATTGAGAGAGGATGCTCAGCCAGCTTATATGGGAGAGCCAGGATTTGTGGGCGTGAAATGCTTGGAAGTGACCGGTGCACATTGGGGAGGGAGATGATATGAGGGAATGAGGTGGTGTAATAATACTGGAGGCTGCTGAGATAAAAACAAAATGAGTTTGAACTTTAGGGATATCTGCTGATGCGTGCAAGGTCGGGCTACACAGTCGGCATTCACTTAGGATGAAATCAGTCCAAACTTAGGCATAATACCATCATTAGCAATAACAGAGTTGGGGGGAGGGGGGGGGGGGGGTTGTTTTTTCACGAGCAGATCCTTTGACCTTCAGACTTTCCTCCAAACATCAGCAATGGCTCTGTTCTATAAACAGAGCAGAACAGCATAAGACACTGAAGAGGCTTTAAGGAATCGAGTTTGTATTCATATTACTTACAACTTGTCTGCTATGACATGTCAAAAACAGATAAAGTGCTGTGCAGAGTTTTGAGCGACCCCTCATTTCTTTATATTTTGGTAGGAAAAAGGGGACATGGGTGCAGTGATTTATTGAAAGGTGCAAACATAAGAGGAAATACAGAAATTTGTACAATTTTAGCAAGCAGGAAAGTCAGTACTTTGAACGGACATCTTTATTATTTAATGCAGCCAGGCACAATAGATGAAAGGGGGTACCAAGTCAGGTTTTTAACAAATAAGTTATTATAATAAGTCATTTTAACCAGTGTACAATTTCATGGTAAATACAGTCTTATAAATACGCTGCACTTTTTGGTGCACAGATTAACTTTGTCTTTTTACACCTTTACTTAATATTTATAATGTTGATGTGCATGACGTATGCTTTATTATTCAGCTGTCCTTTTATTTTACCATAAATGTGACGAGGACTGTTCTCCTTTTACAGCTTAAAGAAAAAATATCCAATAAAACTCTGCAGGCTTTATGGAGCCAAGCCTAACCTTTTCCTTCTTTCGTAATCATTGTTCAAACACAACTTCTTGAAAGGAGTGTACAGAAAAGGAGTGTCTCCTTTACCTATAGTTATGCAATTTTTTTAATTACTCTCACACTGCCAAAAATAACTTGTACATTAGGAAAAATGATTTACTGCCATTTAAATAAACTTGCAGTACAAACAGCCTGCCTTGTTGTCGCCTTATTCTACTATATGTGCAGTTCAACAAAATAACAGTCCTGTGAAAATGATCAGGCACAAACACTGGACTGAAAACGGGTGAAAAAGGAGTTAACGTCCAATAAAGAACATTTGGATCTTTAGAACCACAACACAAAGAAATGAGGGCTGGCACATCTGTGATCTAACATAACTCTTTATTTTATTATTATTTAGCAGACGTACCCTCCCCTGTGTTTGTGGTATGCCTCCCTCTGTCTCAGACTGATTCCTCATCTCATGCGTGTTGTTTAGTTTTGGTACTATGTCTCCCACAGGTTGTTTTGGAGAAAGAGTCCTGTGTCAGTTTTGTTTCCTGCCCTCCTCTCCCTGATCAGCCCGGTTTGTATAAATAGTCGTCCAATCTCTGTGTTTGACCTTGTTAGATTGTTTGTTGATGGTCTCCATTGATGCTACTTATGTGCTTTATGTGGACTTATTTAACTTTATCCACCGTATTGTTCTGCATTTGGATCCTCGTCTGTACACCGCA